TTGGAGTTCCACATTCCTGACTTTGACCTGGCCAAGCACTGGCTATTGCAGCCATTTGGGGAATGAACAAGTGGATGCAAGGTCTCTCTCTCTCTCTCTTTCTCTCTCTCTCTCAACTCTGCCTTTCAAATAAATAAATTTGAAAAAGAACTATGTGACTATAAAATATATTGCAAGGCATGGTAATTAAATCAGCTTGGTTTGGGCAAAAAACTCTATCTGGATCTCCGTTATGTGTAACAGGGATCCAATTACCAGGACCATCATCTGTTGCATTCCCAGGGACATAAACAGAAAGCCAAAACTCGAACTGCACTGCAATAAAGATGAGAGTATACCAAAAAGCTGCTTAATCCACTGCACCAGAACCCCCACCCCAAAATCATAGATTTTGTAGTCAGTGAGACCCTTCAAGGATTCAGGTAGAATGCACTCTATCAGAGAAGGATGAGAACATTTGTGTTCAGCAAAAGCGCTCAGTGGAACATCATGCAGTTTTAGATCTTCTCTTTGCCCATGTTGAGAGTTTGTGTATGATGCTGAACAAAACTGAATGAGACACTTATCTGTCCCTTGATTTACCAACAGAGAAAGCTCAATTTAAAAAATGGCTACTACTGCAGTTTCTCTGAAACTGCCACCAAATAGATCAAGGACATTTCTCAGGGGGGAAACATATTGTTTATAGGCACAGCTAGCTGTTGATTTGCAAGAATCCTGAATAGTGGATGGCAAATAGGCTATTCTAAGATTTTCTAATATTCTTGTCCCTTTTAGTTGGTCTCCAGGTTACTGTGACTTGTACTACCAGTGTAACTGCAAAAATGGTTATCTCTTTAAATCAGGCTATCTTATAGTTAACATAATTGCCATGGAACGCTGGACACACTGTGACCAATTATATCCAAACAATGTAAAATTGTCTTGCCTGAACTTTGAGCTTTTTGATTTTGATCAGTCCAGTTCCTGGAGATTTAAGTATACTTCAGATTCAAAGTAATTTTTTACCAGGAATCAACACAAGACACACACAGGCATCCTTTTAATCAGCTGACTTTTTTTAAAAACGGAGAGCAAAAAAACAAAATGAAAGTGAAACAAGCTCTTCATTTCCTGCCTCTCTGAGGATAAATACAGTCCCCATTCACACACAGAGAACCAAAACGCCGGGCTGGAGCTCTGAATCAGCAACCTACCACACTCTGGGAAGGAACTCACTCCACCAGATCTCTCTGTGGCAGCTAGGAACTTGGCTTCAAGGAGACAGGTAAGTGAAGAACAAAAGAGGAAATAGGGTAGATAAAAACAGCACATGCAAAGACTAAAATGAAACAGAAATTGATAGAAATAGTCATAGGGAACAATCAGAGATACAGGGAATTTAAAGCATGTAAAGAATCAGCTGTTAAAAAAAGAATGAAATCCTGTCTTTCTCAAAAAAATGAATGCATCTGGAAACCATTATACTTGGTGAGACAAGCCAGTTCCAAAAAGATAAATATCATATGTTTTCCCTAATCTGAGGTAACAGAGTACAGAAAATATAATATATATGAGCAAAATTGACATTTTGAGATTTTTTAATATTTGTATTTATTTATTTGAGAGGTAGAGTCACACAGAGAGAGAAGTCCTCCATTCACTGTTTCATTCCCCAAATGGCCACAACAGCTGGAACCAAGCCGATCTGAAGCCAGGAGCCAGGAGCTTCCTTCTGGTCTCTCACTGGGTACAGTCCATAAGCAGAGCAGGGATCAGAAGAGGAACAAGCCGGCGCCACGGCTCACTAGGCTAATCCTCTGCCTAGCAGCACCGGTACACGGGGTTCTAGTCCTGGTCAGGGCGCCGGAATCTATCCCGGTTGCCCCTCTTCCAGGCCAGCTCTCTGCTGTGGTCAGGGAGTGCAGTGGAGGATGGCCCAGGTGCTTGGGCCCTGCACCCCATGGGAGACCAGGAGAAGCACTGGCTCCTGCCATCGGATCAGCGCAGTGCGCTGGCCACATTGGAGGGTGAACCAACGGCAAAAGGAAGACCTTTCTCTCTGTCTCTCTCTCTCACTGTCCACTCTGCCTGTCAAAAAAAAAAAAAAAAAAAGAGGAGCAGCGGAGCAGCTGGGACGTGAACCAGCACCCTTACAGGATGCCGGTGCCCCAGGCAGAGGCTTAGCCTACTATGCCACAGCACCAGCCCTGACATTTTGAGATCTGATTATTGTTTACAGCCCTTGTCTCCACTGTTGAGGAACAGTGTGGTTTTTTTTTTTTCTTACCACTTTTTGAATTCTTTATTTAGTGGAGTGTTAAGCTTATGATTATAAAATAAACTGAAAGTATGTCATTGTAAAAATTAAGAGAAAGAATAAGAAAGGAAAGAGGAGGGAGACGGGACTGTAGGCGGGAAGGAGGCTAGGTTGGGAAGTATCACTGTGCTCCTAAATCTGTATATATGACATGAAAACATCTGTTCACCTTATATAGATTATAAAAATTGAAAAAAATAAATAAAAGACCATATACCAAAAAAAAAAAAAAGACATGCAAGGAACACAGATATGAATGCTCCAAAAAACAATTCTCAATTCCAGTTTCTAGCTAAGTCATACCCTGCGAGGCAGCCAATGATGGCTCAAGTAGTTGGGGTCAGCATTGATGTGGGAGGCCTGGGTTAAGTTCCTGGCTACTTTGTGGATTTCTCCTGGCCCAGTTTCATCTGTTGCAGGCATTTGGGGGAATTAATCATCAGAGTCATATTTCTCTCTCTCTCTCTCTCTCTCTCTCTCCCTTTCTCTCTCTCTCTCTCTCTCATTCTCTTTTTCTAAATAACTAAACAAATACCAGAAGAAACTTTTCCCAAAGAGTTAAATCTAGAAATTTAGCATGAGATTTTAATTGAATAAGATACTCTACATAGATGACCCAACATGCTCTAAGAGAAGCTTCAGATCTGAAAGAATGAGAATATATAGGCTAGGGGATAAAATATAAGAGGCAAACTAAAATTTGATAGAAACTAGAAAAAGGAAGATCTTAAAACACCATTATGAAATTATTTTCCTTATCTGTGCATTTGCAAATTTGTAGTCTGCCTTCCTTATTCGAATGCAAGTTCTCCAACTGCAAGGATCTAGTCTGTGAACATTTCCCAGCACACTGAAAGTCCTCAATAAGTGTGTGAAATGAATTCTAGTATTTTTGGCATATTTTTGTTAAATCTCTAGTACATATTTTGTGTGATCAAATTTAGTGATAGACACATTATCATGATGGTAGATGACAGGAGAGCCAACAAAGGATGAGTGGGATAAAAATGTAGGAGAGACATCCAGGCTTAGTAATTTGAATGTATTGGGCCTATGAGAACATTTTTAGAAAAATGTGAAAGCATAATGAGGCAAGTTAAAAATGGGGAGGGTACATTCATAAATTCAACAGGAAACATTTATTGACCCAGGTATGTAGATTTAAAGTACTTTTTTTGAGAAACCTGGAAATTGTCTAAATATAAAGAACACAAAAAGTTATAAAGTAAGGAGAATATAGTCTGTGTAGAAATAGAACATAAGCATATGTTTTTACATAACATGAAGGAAAGATGCTCAAAATCCTCAAGATATAGATAACAAGACTAAAGGGAAGGTGAACAAGATTAAGAGAACAGAGTCAGTACTGTAAAGAGGCTAGGGACATTTCTTCATTGAGAATGTAAGAGACAAAGAGAGGGTGGGAGGGAGGGGGGGAGAGAGAGAGAGAGAGAGATCCCCTCTATCACCCATTAGTTCTTATGTGAGCCTTTAGGCTACATCTAAGATTTAAATTAACATAAGGCTGATCAATAATAGAGAAGTATACACATCTTATTAAATTTGCATGTAAGTGAGAATCTTCCCGAGAGAGTGAAATCTAAAGAGATGACCAAGGCGAGATACTTTAGGGCCAGCGCCACGGCTCACTAGGCTAATCCGCCGCGCGCCGGCCACAGCGGCCACTGGAGGGTGAAACAACAGCAAAGGAAGACCTTTCTGTCTCTCTCTCTCACTGTCCACTCTGCCTGTCAAAAAAAAAAAAAAAAAAAAGATACTTTAAAACTTTGAGACACAAAGCAATACATTTGTGAAGGAACGGATCTCTGAACTGTCGCTCCCCCACTCGTGGAGGAGCGGCACCGACCCTGCGCTGTTTTCTTTTCCCCAGTCCTTCCCAGATTTGCTGCCGCTTCCCCGCCTCCGCGGAGGAGTGGCACCAGCGAGCTCTCCGACCTACTCTCTCAGGGGATGTGGCCACGCATGTTGTCTCTCTCTCTCTTTTAAGGGGTTGGGCCAGGAATCAGCTAATTAACGAAGCAGCTGTGTAAAATTAGGTTCACTCTCTCTCAGCGTCGTATGATGGGAGATCAGATGCATAGAGTTAGTCTTAATAGTCTCAGTGGTCTAGTCTAGTCTCGGTAGTCTCAGCACTTATTTCACCATGTTGTGGGAGACAGGCCCTGCTCCCCACATGAACCAGGGAGCAAATTCTAAGGATTTCAGTAAGACGTGAGAAAAGGCTATAAAAGCCAGTGAGGGGCCTGTGCTGTGGCGCAGTGGGTTAAAGCCCCAGCCTGCAGCGCCAGCATCCCATATGGGCACCAGTTTGAGTCCTAGCTGCTCCTCTTCCGATCCAGCTCTCTGCTATGGCCTCAGAAAGCAGTAGAGGATGGCCCAACCCTTTGGCCCCTGCACCTGTGTGGAAGACCCAGAAGAAGCTCCTGGCTCCTACCTTTGGATCAGCTCTAGCCATTGTGGTCTTTTGGGGTGTGAACCAGAGGAATGGAAGACTTCTCTCTCTCTCTCTCTCTCTCTCTCTCTCTCTCTGGCTCTACCTCTCTGTAACTCCTTCAAATAAATAAAATAATTCTGAAAAAAAAAAGCCAGTGGAAAGTAAGAGTTAGTCCAATGAGATTATCTATTCAGATTCAAGGATGCACCAATTATCAGTTCTTGGTAGTTATGAATGTTTTCTTACCTTAGTTGAGGGAGAAAATCCCTCTGAGAAGAATTTATGGCTTGCTGCATGTAGGAAAAGAAAGGTGAAATGGCCCTTTCTGAAGCTGCAGTTCCTCAAGTGACCACAGCTTGAAACAGTCAATTTATTGCTCTGTTTGCACCCATGAATTCTTGTTTCACTTGTATTTTTTTCTTTCCAACTTTTATAGTACTCATTGAAATTTATTTTATTTTTATTCCATTTGTTAGGATGTAATTACCATTTTTGTGTGAGCTTCATGACCACGCTCTATTGTTATATGATACTTTCAAAAATAATTCTCCATGAACTTTTCACATGGTCACTCTCACCACCACCATCACACGTACTCTATCCTGTTCTGTACTAAATCATCTCTTATACTGAACCAGCTGGAATTTTAACCACATTTTTATATTTTATATTAGCAACAATACTTATACACTAATAGCTTTACTTGTTCCTTCGCTAATTTGGTGTGGGTATAATCTTGGGTTCCAAATAATATTCCTTTTTTTTTTTTTTTTTGACAGGCAGAGTTAGACAGTAAGAGAGAGAGACAGTGAGAAAGGTCTTCCTTCTGTTGGTTCACCCTCCAAACGGCTGATACGGCCGGAGCTATGCTGATCCAAAGCCAGGAGCCAGGTGCATCTTCCTGTTCTCCCATGTGGGTTCAGGGCCCAAGCACTTGGGATATCCTCCACTGCCTTCCCAGGCCACAGCTGAGAGCTGGACTTGAAGAGGAGCAACTGGGACAGAACCAGCGCCCCAACTGGGAAAAGAACCCGGTATGCTGGTGCCACAGGCAGAGGATTAGCCTAGTGAGCCACGGCGCCAGCCTCCAAATAATATTTCTTAAGAATATTAAAAATTGTGCTGTAATATCACACAGTATCCGGTGCTGTGCTGAGATCTCAGTATCAGTCTGCTTTTGACTTAAATGTAAATAAGAATTTACTTGTTCATTTATTTCTTTGTTAAACTCATTATTTTAAGAAAATGAAAGTTATTCTAGAATGAATCTAGTTATTATTATTATTATGAATTTGGATCAGCAATTGATGTATACTTTCTTTTTTTGATTTTTTTTTAACTTTTATTTAATGAATATAAATTTCCAAAGTATGCCTTATGGATTACAATAGCTTCCCCCCCATAACGTCCCTCCCACCAACAACCCTCCCCTTTCCCACTCCCTCTCCCCTTCCATTCACATCAAGATTCATTTTCAATTCTCTTTATATACAGAAGATCAGTTTAGCATAAATTAAGTAAAGATTTCAACAGTTTGCTCCCACACAGAAGCATAAAGTGAAAAATAATAGATGATTTTTTAAATGATGATGAAATCAGATCAGACCTATTGTCATGTTTAATCCCAGTGAGAGTCAAGTTGGGAATTGATAATTTCTTTTTTTTTTTACAGAAGATCAGTTTAGTATACATTAAGTAAAGATTTCAACAGTTTGCACACCCATAGAAACACAAAGTGAAATATACTGTTTGAGTACTCATTATAGCATTAAATCTCAATGTACAGCACATTAAGGACAGAGATCCTACATGAGGAGTAAGAGCACAGTGACTCTTATTGTTGACTTTACAAATTGACACTCCTGTTTATGGCATCAGTAATCTCCCTATCCTCCAGTCAAGAGTTTCCAAGGCTATGGAAGCCTTTTGATTTCTCCAACTCTTATCTTGTTTAGACAAGGTCATAGTCAAAGTGGAGGTTCTCTCCTCCCTTCAGAGAAAAGTACCTCCTTCTTCGAAGACCTGTTCTTTCCACTGGGATCTCACTCACAGAGATCTTTCATTTAGTTTTGTTTTTTTGTTGTTGTTGTTGTTGTTTTGTTTGTTTGTTTGTTTGCCAGAGTGTCTGGGCTTTCCATGCCTGAAATACTCTCATGGGCTTTTCAGCCAGATCAGAATGCCTTTAGGGCTGATTCTGAGGCCAGAGTGCTGTTTAGGACATCTGCCATTCTATGAGTCTGCTGAGTATCTCGCTTCCCATGTTGGATCACTCTCCCCTTTATTTATTCTATCGGTTAGTATTAGCAGGTACTAGACTTGTTTATGTGCTCCCTTTGACTCTTAGTCCTTTCATTATGATCAATTGTGAACTGAAATTGATCACTGGGACTAGTGAGATGGCATTGGTACATGCCACCTTGATGGGATTGAATTGGAATCCCCTGGTATGTTTCTAACTCTACCATTTGGGGCAAGTCAGCTTGAGCATGTCCCAAATTGTACATCTCTTCCCTCTCTTATTCCCACTCTATGTTTAACAGGGATCACATTTCAGTTAAATTTCAACACTTAAGAATAACTGTGTATTAATTACAGAATTAAACCAGTCATATTAAGTAGAACAGACAAAAAAACTACTAAGAGGGATAATGTATTAAGTTGTTCATTAACAGTCAGGGCTATGCTGATCAAGTCACCGTTTCCCATAGTGTCCATTTCACTTCAACAGGTTTCCTTTTTGGTGTTCAGTCAGTTGTCACCGATCAGGGAGAACATATGGTATTTGTCCCTTTGGGTCTGGTTTATTTCACTCAGCATGATGTGTTCCAGATTCCTTCATTTTGTTGCAAATGACTGGATTTCGTTGTTTCTTACTGCGGTATAGTATTCTAAAGAGTACATATCCCATAATTTCTTTATCCAGTCTACCGTTGATGGGCATTTAGGTTGATTCTAGGTCTTAGCTATTGTGAATTGAGCTGCAATAAACATTAAGGGCAGACCGCTTTTTTGTTTGCCAATTTAAATTCCTTTGGGTAAATTCCAAGGAGTGGGATGGCTGGGTCGAATGGTAGGGTTATATTCAGGTTTCTGAGGAATCTCCAGACTGACTTCCATAGTGGCTTGACCAGTTTGCATTCCCACCAACAGTGGGTTAGTGTCCCTTTTTCCCCACATCCTCGCCAGCATCTGTTGTTGGTAGATTTCTGAATGTGAGCCATTCTAACCAGGGTGAGGTGAAACCTCATTGTGGTTTTGATTTGCATTTCCCTGATTGCTAGTGATCTTGAACATTTTTTCATGTGCCTGTTGGGCATTTGGATTTCCTCTTTTGGAAAATGTCTATTGAGGTCCTTGGCCCACCTCTTAAGTGGGTTGTTGGTTTTGTTTTTGTGGAGTTTCTTGATCTCTTTGTAGATTCTGGTTATTAACCCTTTATCTGTTGCATAGTTTGCAAATATTTTTTCCCATTCTGTCGGTTGTCTCTTCACTCTCCTGACTGTTTCTTTTGCAGTACAGAAACTTCTCAATTTGATGCAATCCCAATAGTTGATTTTTGCTTTGACTGCCTGTGCCTCCCGGGTCTTTTCCAGAAATTCTTTGCCTGTGCCAATATCTTGAAGGGTTTCTCCAATGTTTTCTAGTAACTTGATGGTGTCAGGTTGTATTAAAGTTTATTTTGTCTGATATTAATATGGCTACACCTGCTTTTTTTTTGTTTTTGTTGGCATGGAATATCTTTTTCCAACCTTTCACTTTCAGTCTGCATGCATCTCTGTTAGAGAGATGTGTTTCTTGTAGGCAACAAATAGTTGGGTGTTGTTCCTTAAGCTAGTCAGCCAATCGGTGTCTTTTAACTGAAGAGTTAAGTCCATTAACGTTTAATGTGACTATTGATACATAGTGATTTTGCCCTGCCATTTTCCCAGAGATATTTTCTATTACATGCTTTGAGCTTCCCATGCTCTTTTACTGGTAGGTGTTCTTCCTTTCCCTTCTTTCATATTGATGGCCATGTTTCTTTGTTTCTGAGTGTAGCACATCTTTAAGTATCTTTTGCAGGGCCAGATGAGTGGCGACAAAGTCTTTCAATTTCTGTTTGCTATGAATGGTCTTTATTTCACCTTCATTCACAAATGAGAGCTTACCAGGATATAATATTCTGGGTTGGCAATTTTTCTCTCTTAGCACCTGTGTTATGTCTCAACATTCCCTCCTAGCCTGTAGTGTTTCTGATGAGAAGTCTGCTGTGAGTCTGATTGGAGATCCTCTGAGAGTAATCTGACGTTTCTCTCTTGCACATTTTAGGATCTTTTCTTTATGTTTCACTGCGGTGAGTTTAATTACAACGTGTCGTGGTGAGGATCTCTTTTGGTCATGTTTATTAGGGGTTCTATGAGCTTCCTGTACTAGGATGTCTCTGTCCTTCTCCAAACCCGGAAAGTTCTCTGCTAGTATCTCACTAAAAAGGCCTTCTAATCCTTTCTCTCTCTCCATGCCTTCAGGAACTCCTAGAACCCGAATGTTGGGTTTTTTAATAGTATCCTGTAGATTCCCGACAATACTTTTTAGATTTCTAATTTCCTCTTCTTTTCTTTGGTTTGACTGTATCCTTTCCTGTTCTCTGTCTTCTAAGTCCGATATTCTCTCTTCTGCTTCACCCATTCTGTTTTTAAGGCTCTCTAATGTGTTTGCCATTGATCTATTGAGCTCTTCATTTCATTTTGATTTCTCTTCACTATCCCAGTTTCCTGTTGTACTAGTTGTTTCGTTTCATTTTGATTCCTCCTTAATATTTCATTTTCACGAGAGAGATTTTCAATCCTGTCCAATAAGGATTTCTGTAGTTCAAGGATTTGCTTTTGAAAACTTCTAAATGTTCTTATCATAAATTTTTTGAAATCCGTCTCTTGCATTTCTTCTATCTCATCATCTTCATAATCTTGGCTTGGGGTGTTTTGTTTATTTGGAGGCGTCATAGTGTCATCGTTGATCTTGTTTCCTCGATTTCTGTGTTTATTGCTTGGCATGGTTAATTCTTTTTCCCTCACTTTGAGGTGTGTTTTTTTATATACTATGTCCGTGTTAAGTGGACTGCCTGCTGTTGGAGGAGCCTTGGAGGCTTGAGATGGGTGTGGCCTGAGAGCTCTGCTTGGTTCTTCAGGGTTACGGGTGTGCAAAGGTGACACCCTCAGGTTATGCGTGGTAAATCTCTCTTTATTTATTTATTCATTTATTTATTTTATTTTATTTTTTATTCAGGAGGTAAGTAACTTTATTTTTTCTGATCAAAGAATTCGTGGTTATCTTTAGCCTTCACTACTAGGACTTTGTCCATACTGTCAGTGGCCATTGGCAGGGTCATGGCGGGGAAATATATGGGTTTTTCCTTCCTCCACCTTGACAAAGCACTAATACTTGCACTATGGAATTACTGTGTTCCAGGGAATGCTGCCCACATCTGATAGAGGAGTCATCATAGATGTGGGATTCTCAAGGTATCATCATAAATGAATGCATGGTGGTACATGCCAGTGGGCAGGAACATTAGACTAGAGCCTGCTAGGCTAAAGAGTAGGCACTTCTGTTTGAATAGACACCAAGGAAATACTAGGATCCACGTACTTTTTCAGCACAGAATTTCAAGCTGAGTTTCTGCTACCCCAGTGAAATGTGTAAATACTATGCTGACAGACAAGAGTAAATGAGGAATACTGACCAACTACTGCAAGTCAGCAAAACTTCCCAGGAAGTACATCCAGATATTCTGTTCCCCCATTACCACAAAGCTATCTGCAGTCCAAAGTCAGCACTACAGGTGCCCCAAGGACCCAGGACTTCTAAGATTTATCAGTGAATGATAAATGTATTCTCATGCCAGTAGTACACTGTTCTGATTTTTGTGGCTTTGCAGTGAATTTTGAAATCTAGAAGTATGATTCTACCAATTATGCTCTTAATGTTCAATATTACTTTGGCAACTTTGGGTCCCCTGTACTCCATGAAACTCTGACTTTCAAATAAATAAATAAATCTTTTAAAAAAAAATTGGGGAGGCTGGCGCTGTGGTGTAGTAGGTAAAGAGGCCGCCTGCAGTGCCAGCATCCCATATGGGTGCCAGTTCATGTTCCAGCTGCTCTACTTCTGATCCAGCTCTGCTGTGGCCTGGGAAAGCAGTAGAAGATGGCCCAAATCCTTGGGCCCCTGCACCCATGTGGGAGACTTGGAGGAAACTCCTGGCTCTTGTCTTTGGATAGGTGCAGCTCCGGACATTGCAGCCAGTTAGGGAGTGGGCCAGCAGATGGAAGACCCCTCTCCCTCTCTGCCTCTCCTCTCTCTGTGTAATTCTAACTTTCAAATAAATAAATAAATAAATCTTTAAAAAATTTTTTGACAAAATAATCTATTTCCAGCAAAACAGATATACTTATTCTTTTCTTTCTCTCTTTATTCCTTTTTGTAAAAGGTGCTTATGCAAGAGACATTTATTAATGTTCTGTTGTATCTACAGGTTTAACATAGCAAACTAAGATGAATTACCATGTGAGCAGAAAGCACATTATTCTACATTTACAACTAATTTGTTTCTGCTAACACATGGTAAAGTAATACAGTATAGATCAAGAATCATCTCAAAAGTTTCAAGCTAATTCTTTCTTGCTCCTATACCCAATCCTCTGGGACTCCAATCAGACAGACAATATCAAGAGCTACATCTAGTAATTAACCTGTATTTGCCCTGTCCTTCCTGTTTTATACAGTGACACTTGTAGAATTCCTATGGTACACCCACACAACCATAAAGTATTGTAAAATTTCAAATACAGACTATTAAAAAATCAACACTTTTTATTTTCCAATTAACAACATGTTCTTGACCACGTCTTAAATGTATTTTGCACTATGATTTTGTTTCCAGGTGTTCATGAATAAATTTATAGGTTAAATTATGGATTAATAAACAAAAATGCAAAAATAGCATGCTTTAACTTTTGAGAAAACCCCTTTAAAATGCCAGCATTATACATATATTACACTAAAATGTTTAATTCCAAATTCACTTTGAGCTGGAGGCAGAATAAAGCAAGACTGCCCCCTACTAACTAGAGACATGGTCATGCTATTTAAAATGGTTACAAATAATACATAAGGCATTACTGTACATCACAGACTTGATTGCAAGAACTTTTTCAAACATTAACCACTAATATTCAATGATTTCAGAATTTGGCATCAACTATTAAAATTTTACCTAGTGTGGGGAGCAACTCGGACTAGACTAAGTTACTGGAATTAAGACTTATTCTATGCATCTGCTCTCCCACAATATGGCGCTGGGAGAGGAGTAAACAACTTCTACACAGCTGCCTCTCGCCAATTTGACTGATGAGCTGCAGGAGCTGATCTTGCTCCTGATTGGAGGAGAGCAGCGTGCTCGGCGTGTGGGTAGCAGAGTTGGGATTGGTGGAAGAGGACTATAAAGGAGGAGAGAGACAACATGCACCAGGAACATCCGGATAACATCTGAGCAGCCCCCGAGAGAGCCGGCCAGCGGTGTGCCGCTCCTCCACGGAAGTGGGGAAAGTGGCAGGGGGAGCCGCCCCTCCACGGAGGTGGAGGGGTTGGCAGCCAACCCAGGAAGGACCAGCAGCAAACCCGGGAGGGGCCGAGCAGACAAAAGAACAGCACAGGGTCCTGTGTCGTTCCTCCACGAATGGGGGAGCGACAACCTAGGAACAAGCAGAAAGAGATGGTCTTTTTCAACAGAATTTATTGTTTCAAAGCAGGTGATTATTCTTCTATGTTCTGCATCTTGATTCACTTCCTGCAGGTGTTCTCTTGCTTCTTCAGAGAGAATTTGTAAATGCAGGAAGGCCTTCTCAGAAAACACCTTTGATAAACATAGAGAACTCTGGTCCTGGGGAGACATGAGAAAGTTTCTGGCATTTTCCAAACTCCCATGTCATTAATATTGTGATGCCTCCAGCTTGATGTTTTCCCCCCTCAGGATCATTTTGGGTATTCTAGGTCTTTTGTGATTCCATAAGTATTTTATAGTTGATTTTCTAACTCATTAGAGACTGCCTATTGGTATATTGATAGGAATTCCACTGAATCTATAGATTGTCTACAGAAATATGGACATTTTAATTATATTAATTCTTCCAACCCGTGAAAAAGGAATAGCATTCTATTTTTTGTGTGGACTTGATGATTTCTTCCATCAATGTTTTATGAATTGC